AGTGGTCCGAGAATCCAAAAAAAAAGACTTGTTTTCAGAATTTTTTCTGGCTTTGATTTCAGATGTCAAATGATTCTCAGTGTCCAAATATGCACCAAAAAGGTACCAAAAAAGTTTTGAAAAAAGTTGTTTTTTGGATTCTCGGACCACTGTTACATCTGAAACTGCTCTGAAAATTCGGAAAATGAAAAATTAAAAAAAAACCGATTTTTATGATTTTGGTTTTACAGCTGTTCTCATGCAAAATTCCAAGTCAACATTGAGCGATTTTAAACAAAGTTATGAATGTTCGAAAAAATTCTCCTCACCACTTCTCGCCACTGTATATTATGATCTATGGTAGATTATCTCCCATTTTAGTTTGAAGTAATGTTTCTTTTCCTTCTTTTCTTCTTCTTTTCTTATTGCTCCCACTAAGAATCTCAAATTTCCACGCTCGGCGCCTCGAAAAAAATACGTAATAGGCTTGGTGTGGTGTAAGAAAGAAAGATGGGATCTCCTCCTTTCCCCCAAAAAACTCTTTCTTCCACATTTCTTCATTGCCTAAACGAATCGGGGTTGATTCACAGTAGCCATTAGTATGTACATTGTTGGGTAGGGAGTTCCAGAAAAAAAAAACTGAATGAACAATAGATGAAAAAGGAGCTTGAGAAAAAAAATGCGTTGGTGAATGAGGCTTTATTGGAAAACTATAGCTCGCTACTGGTGCGTGTGAATTTTGGCAGTGGAAGAGGGACAACTTTCTTTCTGATCATACTTTTCCAAATTTTTTTCCAGACACCTCCGCCGATAACTCGACACATGTTCTCGGTGCTCGCGCTAGCTACACAGATACTGGCTAATGTCAATCTGGCTGCACAGGTAATATTTATGGAAAAAATCTTCCAGAATATATTATTTTTCAGACCGTCGAGCCAATTGATCTTGCTCCCCCGCCGAAGGTAAATTTTGAAAAAAAAAGAGAGGGAGAAATTTGATATTACTCCACTAGCTCATTAATCATGTGAACATTTTTTTCGAAAGGATGTTAAGCAGAATTTTTGTCAGTGTAAAACATAAAACACACATGGTTGGTGTATGGTATCAACAATTTGAGAATGAGCAATCTGGACTCTATAGTTACCTCCGTAATGACTTTTTAATGGAGCAATATTTTCTTGTTTTGCAAATCATAAAACTACTGAGTGTTCTAGCTACCGCACCCCGAAGTTTCCCCCGATAATGACCCTTTTAAGGTCCGCCAAATTCGTATTCCTGGCGACATTCTCATTGGTGGCGTTTTCCCGGTCCACTCAAAGTCATTAAATGGAGATGAGCCATGTGGCGAAATTGCAGAGACCAGGTGAGTCGGCTGGGCGCCAGTGGGCAATAAAAACTAATGACTCTCCCAGGGGTGTGCATCGAGTGGAAGCAATGCTGTATGCATTGGATCAGATCAATATGCAAAATGATTTTCTTCGCGGGTACAAATTGGTGAGAGGGAGCTTGAATGATGCCTTTGTTATGAAATTGGCTGTTCCAGGGTGCATTAATTCTTGATTCATGCTCAAATCCAGCATACGCATTAAACCAGAGTTTAGACTTTGTTAGGGATATGATTGGGTCTTCAGAAGCGTCGGACTACGTTTGTTTGTGAGTCCCAACCTCCTTGTGTCTGATCTAGTTCCGATATTTCAGAGATGGGAGTGATCCGAATGTCAAAAAGCAATCGCAAAAGAAAAATGTGGCTGCGGTGGTTGGTGGGAGTTATAGTTCCGTTTCAGTACAATTGGCAAACCTTTTACGACTGTTTCGAATTGCACAAGTCAGTCCAGCTAGTACAAATGCAGATTTATCTGATAAAAATCGATTCGAATATTTTGCGAGGTAGCATTCTTGTTTTGCTTATCGTAATACATAACTATTTCCAGAACTGTCCCCTCTGATGACTACCAAGCAATGGCTATGGTAGAAATAGCTGTTCGTTTCAGATGGTCCTATGTATCATTGGTCTATTCAGCGGATGAGTACGGAGAATTGGGTAAATGATCAAAGCCGATATGTTTAGAATTTCCTTTTTATTTATTTTTCTCATAACTCCCTTTTATGGAATGTCTCTTATGAATATTTCAGGTGCTGACGCTTTCAAAAAAGAGGCAAGAAAGAAAGGAATCTGTATCGCTTTAGAAGAGAGAATTCAAAACAAAAAGGAGAGTTTCACAGAGTCGATAAACAATTTGGTGCAGAAGTAAGTGGACCAGAGGCCATTCCTTATATGCGAAAGATTGTTTCAGACTTCAACCCGAGAAGAATGTGGGAGCGACGGTGGTTGTCTTGTTTGTGGGCACCGAATACATCCCGGACATTTTGAGATACACAGCTGAACGAATGAAATTGACATCGGGGGCAAAGAAACGTATCATCTGGTTGGCGTCGGAGTCGTGGGACCGAAACAACGACAAGTACACGGCGGGTGATAACCGGCTGGCGGCTCAAGGAGCCATTGTGTTGATGTTGGCGTCGCAAAAGGTACCGTCGTTTGAAGAGTATTTCATGAGTCTTCATCCTGGGACAGAAGCGTTTGAACGGAACAAATGGTTAAGGGAGTTGTGGCAAGTGAAGTACAAATGTGAATTTGATACAGCGCCAGGGACAACAGCTACAAGGTAAGCAGTGGCTAGCAATTTTTGAAAATAATGTGATCAGTTTTGTATTAATCAGAAGTTCGAATTTGTAAAAACGTTCTGAATCAAAAAGTTACTGATCTTCAGTTCAAAGTAATTTTTGACACCGGCACCGAACCTAAAATGATGTAAAGTGCCGGTCAGTTTAGATGATTCCGGTCATTTTGACCACTTTCAGGAGTCTGGAGCGCGGTTGTCCAGTTTCTGATCACTTTGAAAATTTTAAACAGTGTGAAACAGACCTAGATTGAAGACTTTGCATTTACGTAATTTTTTGAAATTTCCCGATTTTCAGCTATTGGCCGGTTTCTGAAGAAAACCCTCATTTTTTCACGTTTTCAGTACGAAAACGGGAAAAATGGGATGTTCTTCAGAAATCGGCAAATAACTAAAATCGGCAAATAACAAGAATTTCTGGGAATGCAAAGTTTTCAACCCAGGTCTGTTTTAAACCCTAAAAAACTCTCAAAGTGATCGGACACTTGACAGCCGAGCTCTAGACTTCTGAAAATGGTCGAAATCAACTGAGAAACACGTTTTTCATACATTTATGGCTGGCACTGTAACTCTAAAACGTTGTAACTGAAAATGGAGGTAGTTTTTACAGATGTGAAGACATCAAACAATCCACCGAAGGGTTTAATGCTGATGACAAAGTTCAGTTTGTAATTGATGCTGTCTATGCGATTGCTCATGGACTTCAGGTACATATTTCCTCAATTTTTTCAATTCTCAATATCTAACCTCCCTATTTTCAGTCCATGAAACAATCTGTCTGTCCCGATGATGCAATTGAGAACCACTGGATTTCTCGTTACAGTAAGCAACCAGAAATTTGCCACGCTATGCAAAACATAGACGGAAGTGACTTCTATCAGAACTATCTGCTCAAAGTGAACTTCACTGGTAAGATGCTCCTCTTACTACAATCTTCTTCATTAGCACAAATTTCTAGACATTGTCGGCAAACGGTTTCGATTTTCACCACAAGGAGACGGGCCGGCTAGCTACACTATCTTGACATACAAGCCAAAGTCGATGGACAAGAAGCGGAGCATGACCGATGACGAGAGCTCGCCTTCAGATTATGTAGAAATAGGACACTGGAGTGAGAACAACGTATGTCGTCGTCATAAGCGTGGGCGCCTAGTTAATTAGGCAAATTTTTTTTTCAGCTAACAATCTATGAGAAAAATTTATGGTGGGACCCAGATCATACACCAGTATCGGTTTGCTCATTACCCTGTAAAACTGGATTCAGGAAACAGTTGATTAAGGTGGGACACACCTACAGAAAAAATTGTTTTTTTTTCCAAGTAAGTTTTCAGGATGAGCAATGTTGTTGGGCGTGTAGTAAATGCGAAGATTACGAGTATCTTATCAACGAAACCCACTGTGTCGCTTGTGAACAAGGATGGTGGCCCACCCAAGACCGAAATGGATGTTTTGATCTATCTCTGTCCCAGCTGAAGTACATGCGATGGAGATCAATGTACTCATTGGTGCCAACAATTTTAGCGGTTGTCGGAATCATAGCCACACTATTTGTGATCGCGGTTTATGTGATGTAAGATTGTTTAAAAATAATTCGGAGGGTACAACAATTCGGAGGCACAAAAGTATAAAGTATTTAGGGGTACAAAATTCTAATTTTTCAGTTATTGATAATTCGTACCTCTTAATCACTTTGTGCTCAATCACTCCAAAATTGTGTACCCTCCAAATTATTTGCCTCAAAAATGTATACAGACCGTTCAATTTGCAGTTGATTTTGGGCTATTTCGACCATTTTCGGGATTCTAGAGCTTAGCTGTTAAGTTTCCGATCACTTCGAAACTTTAAAGGGTGTGAAACATACCAAAATTAAAACTCAGAATTTTTTGAAAATTCTTGTTTTTAGCTATTTGCCGATTTCTGAAAGACATCTTTTTTGGCCCGTTTTTGTGCTGAAACGTGAAAAAAATTGTGTTTTTCAGAAATCGGCAAACATCAGAAAAACTAGGACTTTTGAAAATTTGTTTTTGTATATTCTGTTGAACGGTAATGTACGTTTTATTTGTTTCAGATACAACGAAACGCCAGTTGTAAAAGCTTCTGGTCGAGAGCTCAGCTACATTCTACTCATTTCTATGATTATGTGTTACTGCATGACATTTGTTCTACTCTCAAAGCCTAGTGCAATTGTTTGTGCCATCAAACGAACTGGAATCGGATTCGCATTTTCTTGCCTTTACTCCGCCATGTTTGTAAAAACGAACCGGATTTTCCGAATATTCAGCACTCGTACTGCTCAACGTCCAAGATTCATATCTCCCATCTCTCAGGTCAGTGGTACTTTTACTCTCTTCTCTGGTCCCTTTGTCAGTTTCCCGGAAACACACCATTTATAGGTTGTCATGACTGCTATGCTCGCTGGCGTACAATTGATCGGAAGTCTTATTTGGTTGTTTGTAGTGCCACCAGGTAATTGAGAATGATGTGACGTGTCTTGTATCCTGAGAACTTTCAGGCTGGAGGCATCACTACCCAACTAGGGATCAGGTAGTTCTTACTTGCAATGTTCCGGATCATCACTTCCTTTACTCACTTGCCTATGACGGTGGTTTGATTGTTCTATGTACGATCTATGCGGTGAAGACACGAAAAGTTCCCGAAAACTTCAACGAAACTAAATTCATTGGATTCTCCATGTACACCACATGCGTCGTCTGGCTCAGTTGGATTTTCTTCTTCTTCGGAACCAATAGCGATTTCCAGGTGATTCACATTTTTCTTGTTTTTCAACCAATCATGTATTTTTCTAGATCCAAACGTCATCTCTGTGCATTTCAATTTCCATGTCGGCAAATGTGGCATTAGCATGCATCTTCTCGCCAAAGCTCTGGATCATTTTGTTCGAAAAACACAAAAATGTCAGAAAACAAGAGGGAGAGAGCATGCTAAACAAAAGGTGAGCTTGGAATGAAGAGTGATGTTTTTTGGGTGATAAGCTGGTGTGAGAAATAATAAAAGTTCAGAAGGAGTACGAATGCAAAGTCTGATGGGCAAGAAACAAAGTTTTAGAGGTTCCCAATGTGTGAAAAGTTTTGGAATTCGAAGATCAGAAAATTATGGAATCTGAATCCAGGGATGTTTGGAATGGAATTCGGAATTTTGAAAAAAAAAACACTTCCGAAGCTTTTCTGTCAGAATTACAGCTTGTTTGACTACTGTATGTCAAAAGCGCTTCTCCTTTTTTTTATATATCAAAATAGTACATATAACGAAACTTGGAAATCAACATCGGAACATTCCAAAATTAAACATTCCAAAACTTTCAAAGTCGAAGTGTTCCGAAATTCTGAAATTTTGAAATTCTTAAATGTTCCACATCTGAATGTTCTGATATTTGTAAAATCCTGAAATTCCGGACATGCGAAGAATTTCCACCTTGGAATATTCCGAAATTTCAAAATGCTCTACTCTACATCAAAACGTTTCGAAATTAGGATTTTTCAAAATGGGAATATTCAGAAATTCAAAAATTCTGAAGTTCCAAAAATCCGAAAATTCGCATTTTTAACATCCTAATATTCCAAATTTTAGGATTTTCGAAATTTTCAGCATAGAAATACCCCGAAACTTTGGGAAATCCCAAATTTTCACTCCGAACATCCCTGGTTTGAAATTCATATGCAAAATATTAACACAAGTTAGAGTGACATATTTCATATCCCAATTTTTAATTTTTAAATTTTTTTGTGTGACTTTCCTACTCCTTACCCCCATAAATACTTTCATTTCAGTAGCCGATCCCTTGGAAACTGTAGCTCACGTTTGTGCGCCAACAGTATCGATGAGCCCAACCAATACACCGCGCTGCTCACCGACAGTACTCGCCGACGATCATCACGAAAGACTTCTCAACCAACGAGCACCTCATCGGCTCAAGACACCTACCTATGAATGATATCCGATGTGCATATGTATCTTTTTTGAAACTAACGAATATTGATTATTTTCTTCTTTTTTTGTCTTTTATTACGGAAAGAACGATTTCATTTAAAAATGTCATATAACACAAATTGAGATTGAACTTTTGATTGTTGTTGCAAAAAAGAAAGCAAGAATTGATATCAGTGATTAGATGGCTAGCGTTTCGCAGAGGAAATTTTTTCTTTGAAAAAGTGATTGATCATTCTTATCATCCTATTTCTATAAAAAATGTCCGATAAGTAATAAGTCTCGACCTGAAATCTGAGAACGTGAGAAAACAAGAATGAAGCTTGAAAAGGAGAAAAAGGGGAACAAAAAAATTGAGTAGTCCTCAATTAAGATCAGATTCGGAGAATCCCAGATCTCTGCGTCGACGTCGCACGTCATCATGAATCGCTCCAAGATTCTCATGCGAAGAGTCCAAGTAGATATCGCAGTTCTCTCCGTCAATAGTGATTTCAGTAGTGGCTGATGACTTCTTGGCCCACCATACTGAAATCCAGACACAGAAGAATGTTCCAACGATCTGAAATTATATTGGTATTATAAATATTTTTCTTATTAACCAATGAGCGTTTTAGTACCCGGAAATCCAATAGTCACTCACCAAAAACAGAATCCAAACTACAATTGGAGTGACGGCGACGCGTGGGAACATATGGATTCCAAACTTGACGCAGATTGCCGCTTCAAGAGCACAAACCGCCAAATAAACCCAACATTGCATTCCGAGACGTTTGATCAGTGGATCGGTGGCGTAGAGGTAGAATTGGCGGATGGATGGAGCAGAGATGAAGGCGATGAGGATGAGTCTCCAGAAGACAACCGGATGTTTAGTGTCAACCGAGAAAACGTGCTTCATGAAGAAGGTGTTGAGCTCGGTGAGCAGCCAAATGAGCACGAAGACGTAGACCGCCATGGTGCGTTTGATGGTTTGAGTGAAAGATCCCCAGTCGAACTGTAACAAGAAATTTCAAAGTTGTGTTGAAATTAGAAATTTTGTTGAAGGTGGAGGGACATGAAAAATAAATATTCTAAAAATTCCGTCCACCGTTGGAGGCACCGCCTCTGTACCAGCTCAGCTACAGTGTGTTATTGGTCGGCAGGCCAGCTCGCTCCACCGGAGCTCAGCTATTTGCGGCGCTGAACCTCTAACAGTAGGCCTCCTCGAGGGGCTCACAACACATACTTCGGAAAGTACAACCGTTGGGGGTACAAATTGGTATAGAGTGATTTAGGAATACAAAATTAACAATTCGGGGTACAAATTCAAACTTTTCGGGTATTTTGTACCCCCGAATTAAGAATTTTGTACCCCAATGACCCCAAAATTATTTTACTTTTCGAATTATTTTCCGGGGCTTATATGCACAGAAAATCTTTTTCTTGTACCTTCAATGCAAAAAAAAAACAAAAAATAAAATTATAAAACTCACATCATCCATATTCTCCGGCGTGAACTGCATGACCATTCTCTTGAAGCGAGCACGATGCGACGTGATATTCTTAATACTCTCCCAGTGGTAGTTTCTCATGGACAACCATTTGCACACTTGAAGTCCTGCGAAGATTCCAAGACCATTACAAATAAGGACGTCTAGAATGATCGCGTCCCACCAGCACTCTGCGAAGTTTGGTAAGAGTTGAGTAAAGACAATCTGAAACTTTGTTGTTTTTAATTTAGTTTAAATGATAATTTTAACCTCTGTAAGCTCCCAAGCAATACTGATATACCAGCAGAGGACTCCATGCCGGATCAAGAGTGCTTTCATAGCCCATCCGGTAAAATGTCCAACGGCGAAAATATCCATATGACTCCAAATTCGTTCCAATGACACATCGGAGCAATTGATGGCGTACTCCTTTTCCACCAAATCCTCTTGTCCCAATCCTTTTGGATCCAACCACGTGAGTACATTTTTCACATCAGTGTAGGTTTGGAATAGTGTGAATTGGAGCAGCATGAGGTAGACCACAGATACACCAAAAACGATTCTCCAGAAAACAGGATGAGGGCGAATGAATGGTCCATTTGGGAATGCCATAGCACTAACTACCAAGAAAAGCGCAAGGGTTCCAAGAAGTCCGTCGTAAACGTTACGATCGGTAGCATTCTGAGCTTCAGTGAATCTGAAATCAAACTTTTGAGTTTCAAGCTCGTACTGAAAAAGTGTTTCACCTAATAGCTGTGCAAAACGTCAAGGCGCAATATTCATGCACCGCTATTAGACCGTTTTTGTACCGCTAGAAGCTAATTTTTGCCACCATCAGCCTCTTTAGAACTGCTATTGGCTATTTTGCCCCGCTGTTTGCCCTAAAAGCTGTTTGGGGCCTAATACGGTAGCTATTAGCGAAGAACACAGACTGATAGCTATACTCTTTGGCAGTACACGAGATTTATGTCAAGCTTTTCGGTTTTGCACCCTATTTGACCAAAATTCTCTTAGCATGTAAAAATTAAAACTTTTACCTACCCTGTAAACGCTTTGTAACTGATAAAGACCACGAGCACTCCAAGAATTGTCAGGGTATGTGGTTTGTACAAAAAATCCACAGTGATATCCTCTACGACTCTCTCATTAACCATTTGAAAGTGCGTTCGTTCCAACTGACGACGTGACTTGTTTCGACGCACTCGGCGCTCACTAGAAAAAAGTATGATGGGTGTTAATTAGGCGCTCGAACAACCAAACCTCTCATCTTCTTCGTCTAGCTCGCCTTCTGTCGTTGCCGCGTCTCCAATTCGGTCTTCTGGATGCAGCTGTGATGGTTCAGGTCTGAAAAAATGTAGTTAGTAGAAAGATTTTGACACTTCTAACACCCTAAAGTTCACCGAAAGTAGAAAAAACTCTCACCGAATTTTCCGTCGTCTCGGTGTCATACTATCGTCGGGCAAAGTGTCGTCATCCATCTTCAAAGCGCAAACTTTTATACGTTCTCAGAACAATGAGACGGAGACATGCTACTGTGAGAAGAAAAAGTAACGGCCATCAAAGAAGAAAAATGATCGTTCGATAGGGCAAAGAGGGAGGAGATAGGGCAAGGAGACAAGAGTGTTGATAAGAAAAATCGGGCCATATGTTTTGTAAGGCAAGATTGACCGAAGCGGCCAAACGAAGATGTGTGTTATCGTTGTTGGAAGGACTACAACCTAGTCAACATTGTAATCAGATACTAATTGAGAAGTTCTAAAGTTCAGAAGCAAAGAAAAAAGAAGGTCACTTTAGGAGACCCTTCTATTACAGGTTTTTTTTTGAAAACTCATTCAAAACGTAATTCTAAAAAATTGAAAACTATTCACTCTATTTTTCAGCCAATAAATTTGCATCATTCTGAAAGCAAATTTATGACTGCTTCTGCTCCACAGTTCAAGTTCATAGACGAAAGATAAGCTGACCCTTTTGCCTGATAAGAACAGAAAAAAAATCAAAATGCACGTCTTTCAACTAGTCAACGTCTACTAAATGGTGGCTGAAAATTTCAAAGTACCCGATTTTCATCATCAATTACGAAATCAAACATCATGACAAATGGCGTTGTGTTTACATAGAGGTTACCAGAAAAACAACAACAACAATAGGGGTCTGCTGACTAACAATCGGAGAAAAAAATACGAAAAAGTGAGAGAAATGAAAAATTTTCGAAAAAATCACAAGACAACAAAAAGGAAACATGAGGCTAAACAGTGCAGACAACTACTGGAAAGAGCCAGTGAGAACAATTAGTGAAAATAAAAAAAAGTGCCCGAAATAAAAAGTGAAATAAAATCTTTATTTTGAGATTTCGAATTTTTTACAAAATTGCATCCGGTCAACCAATCGCAAAAGTAGAATCATATACAAGTAAAAGCTATAAGAAACACATAGAAAATACACAGTTTTTGGAGGGGTATTTGAAATGAATTAGACTTTAAAAACCAAGAAAATCGCATCAAAGAGTTTGTGAAAAGAAAAAAAAAGAAAAATGACTGATAGAAATCTATACACAAAGATATTTTTAAACGAATAAATAAAATTATACACCCGCTATGGATTCACCTTATAAGAATGTGATAAATGTATGAATACACCCAGTTGGAAGTGGAAAAAAGAACAACAAGGGAGCCACTCAAAGAGAGATTCGCGAGCAAGACATATGCTCTCCTCTGGGAATACAGCGGACCTGAAAGGATAGAGTAAATGAAGAACGTTATGAATTTTCAATCAACTCAGTGAGAACTCACCCTTGTTATTTCTCCAGGTAGCCTTTGGTAGACAGATGGTGGCACCGCATCTTTTTTCAGTGTGCTTATTGCAGAAATCACAGAAAGCAGTTTAGGATTGTCGACATTAAGGTCGAGTGCTCCATAAGCAACTGTTCGGAAGAACTCGTAGAATTGGAATTCGTAGTCAGAATCGCCAAAAATTAGATATTTCTTGAGTTCTGTGACATGACGCTCGACAACCTGGAACATTTTTTGAAGAGATTTTCTAAAATCCGTTTTCTGGAAGCAGTGCACTGCTACCGGCTTAGCTACATGGCTAAAAGTTCGGTTGTCGATTTACCCATAAAGTTTTTGATGTTTGAAACGAAGAAGGAAACTTTCAAATCCACAATTCCGATATTTCGGAGTGTTGTTTGAACTGTCTAGTGCATTTAAATAACAGTTCAAAATATCGTACTTCCTCTAATAGAAGCCCACCCAAACCGTCAACTTTGAGCTCAATTATCTCGTTTCCTGTGAAAGATATTTTTAATAAAGTGTCAAATGCAAGAATAATGACGATATTACAGTAAATGATTCATCAGTTGACAAATATTCAATATCTATCACAGTAATCTAGATAATTGAGGTCAGTATTAGTAATTCGGGTTGGATTCTATAAAAGGAAATACAGTACATTGCTCCAGTAAATTGGTGAAACTGCGATAGAAAGCCTGTTAAACACCGTGTGGTCCAAGGGGTCCAAAATGTGTGTTCCACACTTTCCTGCCTCATTTTGTCCGACTTGCATGAGCAAGTTCGTTAACTCTCTGTAAATGCATGCCGCTGAAGATGCTCCAGAAAATTTTAGCAACACGCTGAGACAATGAGTTCCATGAATGGTAATGGTTAATACGCTGATGTCCTATTTTGTTTGATTTCACCTCTCAGGGAACCAACTCATAATGAGTTCCCTATTCTAGGACTAGTAGTTCTCGAAAACTGACCTCTTGATGCATCCTGGGATCACTATCCTGATTGACTCCATTGAATCGAAGGTTTAAAATGATTTCTGGATACTTCAAACTGTGCCAAACAATGTCACCGTCCCGAAGACCACATTGTGGAAGGGTTGGGAAATCGAACATCCTTCCCTTCTTCAGCAGTTCTCCAACGGTGGCATCTGCAAGACATACGTTTAGATTTATCAGTTTTTGCTAATCTATATCAACTCACTTGTAGAAACTCTTTGTGAGGTCATTGCAATTACAGTTTCCTTGTTCTTCTCCATAGCATGCAGTAGTTTATCTCCTTCTAAACGGAAAAGGAACAGCGACGGGATTTCGATATCGTCCTTTCCATCTTTGTCAGATGCCATTGAGAAGGGTGGTCGACCGGATGCAAACTTCGTGTTCTCTTCGGTATCTGTAACATTTCACATTACGAAAAATAATTCTGAAGGTTCCCTACCAATGACAATCATGCCAATTGCTCCTGCTTGCTGCACACGTCGCGCCTTTTCTTGGAACACACATCCCGATCGCTCTACAATTGCCACTTTTCCAATCATTTCATCTTTGTTCACAATTTCATCGCAAGCTCGGTAAGGAATTGAAATTACTACTGGACCGTAAACAGGTCGAGTTGTCGTTGCGAGGTCTCTTCCGAACTGGGCTGGTGACGCTTGCAGGATTGTTTTTCCGTAGTATGGATGGCTTAGAATCTGCACAAGTCGCTCGGAACCGTCGGCAAAGTGAGCTGTAACCATTAGATTTAATTTAACTTTAAAGAAAAATAACTCACGATTCTTTTCCAGCGTCTCCACATACTCTTGCATCTCCTGCATGAACTCATGTCCCCATCTTGCGAAAATTGGTGACAAGGCCTGAATATACCAACCAATTAATTAAGGATAACAAAATCGTTCGATTTATTGTTTGGACAACATAAATTTAATCACAAGGTTGTTTGGAGTGGGATGAAGAACATGATATTGGAATGGTACACGTGGCAAGACAACTTTTAGAGTCACATAGGAAAAAAGTGGATATGAGTAATTAATTCACATAATATGTATATAGATAGGTCTAGAAAATGATATTACCCGCTCAAAAAATGAAACCTATCAAGCTAAATATGAACATATTAAAAGTTTGAAAACTGGTTAGTCAAGAGTGGCAACTCCCGGGATTTGCAATAAGTTTTCTCGAGATTTTTTGAGTCCTAGATAGGTTAGAATGCCGAGAGTCGTGAAGGCGAACACGTAGAACACAAAAATGAACATTGTGTCAAAAATGTAGAAGAACGAATGAAGGAATTGTCCGTTCGTCACTAATTTTAGCGTCGCGTCAGTTCGTGGCTTGTTCCAACACAAAGGTTCGTCATCAATCTCACACGTTACTCTTTTGCCCTGCAACACGCAATAATTTGGGTATTAAAGATTGTTAAAAATATGTTTTGCTCTTGTTTTCAATGTAACTGAAAGTGACACGATAGGAATGACACAAAAATGAACCAGGCTTGGAGGTTTTTCAAAGTTTCAAAACGTTTTTTGGAGATTGCGTGTTGCAGAGAGCAAAAGAGACATGCATTTGGGTGGGAAATTAGGACAAGATTCAGCAAAAAGACACATTTCCAAACTAAGAGGACAATTTTCAAGCTCAAAAACTCGGCTAAACTCACATTTGCGGATGTGTGGCTCAAATGAAGTCGTCCATCATTCAGGTTGACCAATTCGATTCCCATCTGGCCCAGTTGCTTGATATGGTCCTGATTGCTAGTGGAGAAGTGCCAAGCACGCATTCGTTCGGCTCTGGAAACAAGAAAATTAAAAGTCGGATATGTTTAGGAGCTCTAAATAAGTATTTTGGGATTTCGAGTCACTGGCTTTTTGAATTGCAAGCTGTTTAGTGCTTTATTGAGCAATTTTTCAGGTTGCATTTCGATGTTATCGTGTCGATGCTAAAATCCAAGTTTGAAACCTTAAAAAATCTCTGAATGCTTGCACTTTCTAAAAATTGTAATCAACTTATTTTGATAGATGCCGTTTGATCAGCTAACGTTGAATTTTAGATTTAGTTTGATTATCTTTTTCCGGTCCTTATTTTTAAAACTTGGGTCCGGTTGTTCTCAATCTTCTAACGCTTGGCGCAACACGGGACCTTGCAGCGCCGGACCTTCATTTCGCAAATCTGCCATTTTCCGTTCCCTCTCCCAACTCACGGTGATTCACAACTGCCAGATTGTCCTCCACTTCCTCCAGTCATCCCATTCCTCAACTCTCCCAGCACCACTTTCGTCCTCTCCCTAATCAATCTGGCCTCCTCCTGCTCCGTCGGCAACTTTGTGAAATCTATCGGGTTCGCGCACACATAATTTTTTTGCTTTGGCTCATCAGACCGCAGAACCATCCGTCTTGGGTTCCCAACGTTCTCCACTGGCTCCGTGTGACCAATGCTCAGCGGCAAAAAGTGAGCCTCTGTGGTGAGCACGAAATGATCGGGATCAAAGACCAAATCTTCGGGATCAGTGAAGATCAAGTAGAGATATTTGAATGTTTCAGACAGCACAAATGACTCCATTTGGTCCTCCTTGACCATAGTTCTAATGTCCTTAAGCGCCGCAAATCCACATGGCACTTTTACATACTTGTTGATGCTATCCATTATCTGAAATATTCATTTGATTTAAATGTTGAGCTTCGATTGAAAGACATACCTGCTTAGCAACGTGAAGATAATGCGGATCCTTTGTGGCTCTGTACAAAAAGTAGGTGCTCTCTACGAACTCTGGTCTGATCGGGTGCTCGGCCCAATGAACTTGAAAATCGTGTGTAAAAGCTTCTGGCAAGAATTTGTGCTTCTGGATGACTTGGAAAAGCATCTCGTGAATCTCAATAGCCTCTTTCACGTCCCCCTTCAGCACTTGAAGACCAGGCCAAAAAGCAAGCAGCGAGTCCATGAAGCCTCTTGTGGCAACAGTGGGTCTATGCATATGCACATCCACGAAGATAGGACCCTTAGTGATGTATCGTTTGATAGCGTCGTAGTGCTGGAAACCTTTAATTTGTAGAAGTGTTAGAATTGAATCGATTACCTTGTTGAACCTATCTAGATAACTCTCATCACCCAGCAGAATGTATGCTTTGAGGGTGTACTCGTAGTAGGAATCGATTCCTGCTCCAATTCCACTTTCTCTTCTTGTCCAGTCTCCTGAATGCACATTTAGTACAGTGCCCATGAGATCTGATGAGCGATGACGTTGTTGCCAAAGGAAGTCCATTGCTTTCCTGGCTTTTTTCTCATAAATCGGGTCGCCGGTGAGCCTCGTCAATGCGGCGAACTCGAGAATCATGGTACCACCACAAGCTGTACACGTATCCTTCTGCCGCTTCAAATGATCCTGCATTCCATGTTTTAAATTTATTCTGCTATACGGTAGACCACTTGTTGTGTTGAATGCAGGCAAAAGTCTATTTCCGACTTCTGTCGCCATTTTTAGCAGCTGTCCTTCGTATGTCTGCATTCTCTCTGGATACTTTTCTTTGATCAACTCGGCCAAGACGTGAGCTGAATAATTAGAAATTCACACCTGCAGATCAGAAACTTTGCATACCTGAGATCAGTCCGCCCAGTACTCTGATATTTGTCTCGAAGACGCTGACAACGTGGTCAGATCGAAACGTACTTGCTTGATGACCAAGTCGACGGCTCGTTCAAACTCATCTAGCTCATTTAACACTACCAACGTGTCCAAACTGTCAAGAAGCGTCACGGAGTAGCTGAAAATTGTAAGTTTTATACAATTTATAAAAACTAGGTCACTCACTTTCCGAGCACATCATCCACATCGCCGCGACTCGGCGTCAGCCCACGTATCCTTCCTTTACATGAAAGTGGCATGAGTTCATCGGCGGGAAATGCATAATTCATGTAGGAATTGTAGCCGTGCATGAACATATCGTAGGCTTCTTTTCTGGAAAAAAATGATTTTTTTGTTAAATGAAAGATTTACAAATTTTTTTAAAATTTATGGCTAATTTGTTGAGGTTGCAAGGCTGAAATTTTGGTTCAAAAGTCAATAATTGAGTCGAAATTCGGTTATCGCCTAGTTTTTGTATAATTAGATATCTAATAAACTTACTGCAGTTTCTTCTTGTCCAATTCCTCTCCATCTATTGTGTGATACCATACTGTCAGCAGCAAAAACACTTTCCATCGTGTGTAAAACATATTGGTCTAACAATAAGTTGGGCGAAAAATCGGCGTGCGAGTCTTTATTTCATGGGAATTTTTCAATTTTTCACCTGGAAAAACACACATTTAGGAAAGTTGATAAATCAAAAAATAAACTAGAAAAAACATCGGGAAGAAAAAGTGCAAGATAAATGAGACCTGGACAAACGCGCTCCACCGATAAATGACGATCGATGCGCCAACTGGACGTCCTCTTGTCTTCTCGATTTGCCCCGCCGACCGCGCGGCCGAGACACATGGGACACAGACAAGGACGCTCTCTTCGTTCCACGCACACTCACACACACATAGAATGACGTATAGACACACCACACACACACACACATTGAGGACACTCAAATAACGCTCACTGTCTTTTGAGACAGTACGAGACGCAGAGAGAGGCCAACTGTGCGTTGGAAAGACAAAAGATGCTGGACAAAGTGCAATGAGTCGACTAGACAGGACAAAAGGAAATTGAAGTGATTAATTGGGATAGGCATGCACTTTTTTGGTGCTCGGTTATATATTTGCGGAGAGCCTGATGATAGGAGTTGGCATCTCAATGAAGGGATCGGGAGAAAAATCTGAAAAAGGAAAACCTGGAATATAAATTAAATCAGTGGCATTTTTTATCAGCGTATGTTTTGTTCTGTATTCTAGCGATCATTTTCAGAGGTTTGTGAACTTCTAAAACTACTCGGCAACGTGTCTGAGTCTCTTCATTTCGTGTGAAACTCTTGTTTACACCAGAGAGGGGGGGCCGTTTTCTTCTTTCTCTCTTTCCGATTAGATCTTTTGCCTTTGGAACAATTTAGCAGTCCGGCGGCGGCAATCTTTCATTTTGCATATTTATATTATAATGGCCACCTATTTCGTCTCCGCTAATTTTTTGTCTACTTGAATCGTTCTGTACGTGAATATTGCCAGAATACGTCCCCCTTAAAATGATGACAAATGAAGTTTATTAGAATTTTCCATTCATTTGTTTTTCAAGTCGAAGACAACTAGAAATGGAGGAAAATAGTATTCTGACCCCCTCCCCATGAGTTCAATTTCCGCTGTGGGCTCTGATTTTTATTAGTTTTAGCTGCTCATCACCTTTGTAAATTTTATACCAATTCTCTAAATGACAATAAAAGAATGCGGATAAAAGAATGAGAAACCCCTAAAAATCTAATCGCTGAACTTTATAGACTAATCCGGAGAGATTAAATTTTTTTTGTTCTAGTGCTTTGTTGTTTTCCAGTTTTAAATCCAAAAAGATATATATTTGTTTACAGCTGAAAATTGATTTTCCTAGACTAATTTGGTGGATTAGTGTATAACAGTGTAATTTGAATGTTAATTATACTTGGAAGTGTTATAACCACTATCTAATACTCTGAAATTAGTTTAGTTGACCAGCCAGAAGAAAGACTTCGATTTCAATTTGTCTTTTGAATAATAATTCAGAATTTTCAGCAGGTTTTCGCAAATTACAAAACTCTGCCCATCATGGGCGGCCGAAGCCGAAACCCTGTGAACCGTGTTTCTCACATTTGAAACAATTTCTGAAAATGTCGGCAATTTTTTCATTTTTCGTGAAATTTTCTTGTCTACATGCCGTTTTTGGGGGTTGTTTGAATGTGAGAAGTTATATTTCGTTTCGTTCGACCACGAAGCTTTTTTTACCGGAAACTTGGCCCTTAGAAATTTGAAAATAATGCTTATCATCCTTTACTTGTCGAGCAGAAACTACAGAAACACTTTTTGATTTTGATCTTTTGATCTCCCGGCTTTCAGATTAGTCTATGGTTGGCGCGCCTCATATAGAACATGTTGTGGCAAATGTATTCAATTTTTCTGTTAATGTGAATATGCCAAACTATGTTTCCAATAAGTTTATTACTTTCTGACTCCAATTTTGTTTATGTCAGGTTCCCAAGAACTCTGCCAGGTTCCCAAGAAGTGCAAATTTTCATTTCCTTCCAAACCGTCATTTTCTTCACCAGAGACACAAGAAAAATTAGCAATTCTCAGAATTCCTTCTTCTCGATCAGACGCTTTCCGTGGGGACCCGTGTGAATTCTCTCATGCGGTTTAATGAAGTCTGAAGAGTGCTTTTGAAGGCGAAAGAAGGATGACCTTTTGCTTTTTTTTTTGACATACACACATATACGTACACTAACACAACTCTTTTTGTCGTTTTGCCTTTTTCTCTCTTGCGTTTCGCTACTCAGTTTAGTTTTTTCGTAGTTGGCAATGTTTTGTTGTTTTACATTTTTTGAAGTCAACAAATGTTACCAACAATGCCTTTTTTCAGTTTGTAAGAGAAAAAAGAAAAATGTTTCATATTTCTCATTCTCGCGCTTATAAACCACTTCAAAATTTCGTAAGGGTCCTGAGATAGAAATACTAAGACGCCTAATAAAAATCAAAAGATCAATTGCTATTTCTATAATTTTAAGTTTCTATACAATTCGCTTTTCAAATCTAGTTTGAATGTTCAACTCCAGAAGTCATTATATTCTGCAAAATTCTGCAATGTATGTCAATTCACAAACTTTGATAATCCCTACCAATCTACAATTAGATTTGGATAATCCTAAACTTTGCACTTTTTGAATCACCAATCAGGCCAAAGCTGCTCACTGGCCATGCCAGAAGATCAAGAAGACTTTCCCTAATCGTAGAGTCTTTTATCAATCGTAAATTGAAATTTCTCACTGAAATGATTGAACAAATTTTTTGCCTTTTTATCTTATCTCTATTTCTCACTCATATACCGTCCATTGCCCCAAACCAAAAAAGAGATAGCCACGTTGCTTGTGTCCAATTGGACTCTGACCTCTCTCCCTCTCATTAGCACAGCAAAATTTGGGTTTGTAGGTAGCCCCTCCGGGGGGCTAACGGGTTCAGTGTATGCTTTTGTGTACAACGTGTATAACAAATGCCAGCTGATTGTGCATTCGTTCCGCCTCATATTGTACTTCCGCTTCTCGGTTTTCGCGGTCTCTTGCGTACAAAATTTGATGCCTAATAAGAAAAGTATGCGATGTTAGAACCCATGATACATCACTTTCTCATTTCTGTTTCCGTGCGAATTTCTTTTTCTTTTTTTGCAATTTGCAGCGACAACTTCCGATTGACCACTTCTCTTGTTCACTTCTCCTTCTTAGTTTTTCAAAACTATTGATTTTCCAGATGGCGGATCGTAATACAATTGGTGACAGTGCAGCTGCATTGATTGGCAACACACCAATGGTGTATTTGAACAAACTTGCCAGAGGATGTGCTGCGAAAATTGGTAAGGGATTTTTTAGAACAATTTTTGTTGCGATTACCGTGTTTTCTCTATTAAAAGCCCACCCAAAGCGTCAACTTTAAGCTCACTAATCTTTATTGTTGTGAAGTATATAAAAAATGTGTCAACTGTCAATTTATTTATCATTATATCACCAATATTTTATCAGTTGACAACTTTTTGATATCTGGCACAAAAATCGAGATAATTAAGTTCAACCTTGACGATTTAAGTCGGCTTATATTGAAAGAAATACGCTATTCATTATTGGCCTTTTTTTATGATTTTAAATTTTTTCAGCCGTCAAATTGGAATATCTCAATCCAGCAGGATCAATCAAAGATCGTATCGGATACGCTATGATTGCCGCAGCTGAGAAAGAGGGAAAAGTGAGGAAAGTTGCTTATTATCTAAATTAAAATTCATTAATTTTAGATTATTCCCGGTGTGACCACTCTCATCGAGCCAACATCTGGAAATACAGGAATTGCCTTGGCATTTGTTGCCGCGTCCAAAGGATATAGATGTATTGTGACGATGCCAGCATCTATGAGTCAGGAGAGAGTAAGTGGGATCGTTAGAATCTTTTAGACAACAAAGTTTTTCAGCGTATGCTTCTGAAAGCTTATGGAACTGATGTTGTGCTCACTGATCCGGCTCGTGGCATGCAAGGAGCTATTGATATGGCTAATCAGCTTAAAGAAAAAGTCCCAGCATCATACATCCTCGCGCAATTCGACAACCCCAACAATCCTCTTATCCACTATCAAACCACGGGACCAGAAATCTGGAATCAAACTCATGGAAAGGTCGACGCTGTTGTCTTTGGAGTGGGAACTGGCGGAACCATCACTGGTGTTGGCCGCTACTTGACTGAGCAGAATCCAGCGGTCCGTGTGTTTGCTGTGGAGCCAGAAGAGTCTGCAATTCTTAGTGGCAACCCATCGGGACCACACAAGATTCAAGGAATTGGAGCTGGGTTTGCGCCAGCTGTGTTGGATACCAAGATTTATGAAGATGTGATTCGTGTTCACTCTGATGAAGCTATTGTGATGGCCAAGAGACTTGCTTTTGAAGAAGGGCTTCTTTGCGGTAAGTGTTTCTGGGTTTTTACGATAAAAAATTGCAAAATGAAATATTTAATTCTTTTTAGGAATCTCATCTGGAGCCAATGTCGCCGCTGCTCTCCGTCTTGCTCAACGCCCAGAAATGGTTGGAAAGCTGATTGTCACTGTGCTGCCAAGTTGCGGAGAACGTTACATGTAAGAATTGTTAATCACTGTAGTTAGTGAGCTGACTGTAGTCACTCTACACACTCTGCAGAGATTACTGTAGTTTGTTTTCGAAGAGTATGGTAGTTGATTTTGAGAGATTACTGTAGCTATTGAGATTACTGTAGTCAACGAGGTAACTGTAGCTAGTGTGATTACTGTAGTCACTTTACAGAGATTAGTTAGTTTTCAGAGATTACTGCAGATACTCTCTATACTCTCCAGAGATTACTGTTTTCAGTTCTCAAAGAGTACTGTGGCTGATTTTAAAAGATTACTGTAGTTATTTCTTAGAGATTACTGTAGTTAGTGAAACTACTTTAGCTAGATTATCGTAGTCAGTGTAACTAGTGAGGTTACTGTTGCTAGTTAGATTACTGTAGTTAGTGAAATTACTGTAGCTAGTAAAAAATTAATGCAGTCGGGGAGATTATTGTAGTTACTCTCCAGAGATTACTTAGTTAAGGAGATTACTGTGATCATTTTTCGTATTACAAATATAGAATTCAAATCTTTAATGACAGATTATTTTATTTCCTTTTGAAATTAATTATAGTGCCAGAATTTTCGAGAAGGACGTCTCGATTACTGTACTTTGATCTTGAGTTTAGAACTTTTTTTTTCAAAATTATTAAACTTTATTTTCATGAATGGTTTTTTCAGGACATCCGCTCTCTATGCTGATATCCGCGAGGAAGCTTCAAATATGGGAGTGGAAAGTTTGGAGGCAAACCTTGAGAAGCTCTGCCTCCACTCCTTCGATGTGATGGAATAATCTGAATTCTCGATTTCTTATGGGGTTATTCATGTAGCGAAAATATGTATTGAAATGCATTTCCGCGCCCTCGAAATTCAATGCATGAGCGTCGCGAAATGTATTT